AGAAAAGTCAAATCAGGATATTTGATGTTAAACCTGCAGAGGAGTCTCTTCACCAGTATCGTCTCCTATACTTGCCATCAGCAATCCCCACTCCGTGTTGATTCCAACACCAGTCACCTGAAGGTAAGCAATGATTGAAAGAAGTTAGAACTCAAAAAATGTAGGAACTTTTCTCACAGGAGAAGAGAGAAAGGATGTTAAAGTGTTCAAATAATCGTGTCATTGCCCAACCTATTATCGTGGAGTAATATCCTGCTTTAAATCAACTAAGAACTTGGATCAAAAGTTGTCCTTTTCAGTTAAAACAAATTCATTTTCCGATAAAAAAAAAATCAAGATCTAGTCCTCACATCAAAAAGGACAATAGAAGGACAGAAACTGTATCTCCCCTTCGGATGGAAATACCATAGGCACAATTTTTTCTGTCAGAGGAGAAAGGCGCAGCCACTATAGGCACTTGTCCTGCTATTACGCATTCTTTTGCCCTTTGAAATTTGTTGTCTTACTCCGACCAAACAAAAAATTGTTATCTTACTTACTTGATATTGTAAATGAATTTAACCTTTTTTGGGCAGTTGCAGTACAGAACGTAAAAGAGCAAATGATCATATTACCAGCATAGTGCCAACGCCATCAGCGACTTTGCAACCAGACATTAGGAAAGGTGATTTTTTATCCTTGTGAACCTGCATGGATGTCATGCTTGAGAAAAAATCGACAACAAATTCAAGTAAATCGACCAAAGTATCTGAAAACACACAATCTTGCTTTCTCCTGTCATGCTAGATTCATCAATTGCAAGAGAATGTCCGCTTATTAATACTCCATCAGCAGGAACCTGGTATTGGGAGCAGTAGAACTATTAGTTTACACAGTCATCACCTGTCAAATTAACAAATAACAAACCCTATTAACCTGGCTCACCTGATCACCTATTCTGAGTGGTATGACATCACCCACAACAATATCAAATATCGAAACTGTTACCATCCTTCCATTTCTCATCACCTGCAGAGATCTCATCCTCAGTGATTCGTTTGGAAGAAACTAAGTAGCAACATAATCGAATTACGAATCATTTAAGCGTTATACCCCGATTTGGATATTCTGTTTTTCCTCATTCAAGTTTTGAAACTGCAGAGACTGGCGGTAATCGCTGACGGCTGATGATAAGTAATCAGAAGGTCATTAAGATGGGTAAGGAATGACATTTAGTTTCACCATGAAAAGTAAAGGCTTATGATCAGATAATATACCTGTTACCATTATGACAAGAAGAACAGCCAAAGCTATGCTTCCCCCATCATACCATCCTTCTTTTATCCCCTGCAGAAATATGAAAGGATGGAACTGCTCAGGATTTGATGAGGCATGAAACTTTATTGAGAGAAATAATCAAGGAAGAACCAAATAAGAGTAAAGAGAAACTCAAACAGCTTTTAAACTCCCATCAAACATGTTAGCAAGCAAGAAAGAGATCATTATGACTTGTGCCTAGTTGTAGAAATTATCTATTGGTGGGATGTCCATCTGAAGAATAAAGCTTCTCTAGATAAATACTTTGGCTGTTGGACAAAATCAATATAGTATTAGGAAACTAAGCCAAAGCTCACCTCAGTCTTTATTCCCAGGCCCAGTGACACCGCTGCAGCTATTATCAATATAATAAGGGTCAAGTCCTGCCACGCCTCCCAAAGGAATGTCTACAAGGGACGTCAACTCAGTCTGATACTATCGTCATGACAAGATCCTCGAAGAAAATGCCTGATTTTAGAAACTCAAGAAAAAACAAAAATAGTTGTACCAGAAAAGTTCGTCCTTTTTTCCGAGGATATGTGTTGGATCCAAAGGCATTCCTCCTCGTTGATAAATCAGCATCATCACCAGCAATCCCTTTCTCCAAATTGGTTTTCAGCAAATCTGATAGGCCTTTAACCTAAAGGAGGAAGCATGCAGTCTGAGAGCATGATATCAGATAACAAAATTACTCACACCATAGAAACAAACAAAAATAAATATCAACGATGAACTTGCCCCGCCAAATTGCTGAAGACCAGTCGTATTATGGTCCCTATTCATGGAAGATAGCTGCTCCAGACCAACAGCATAATCGCCAGTTAAACTCGGAGGAGCCACTCTTTTACCTAACACTGATTAAGTCAGGGACATAAGGACAGACAGACTATAATAAACAGAATGCAAAGCACCATATGTGTAAATAGATCAGAGTCCTTCACTTGGTCGAGTGGCAATGCCATCAATTTGTTCTTTGGATTATGCATATTTGCTGTCTAGCAGTTTTTACTTTTTTGTGGATAAAAGGAGACAAGTGTGCAACTTCAACAATCTCATGCATAGGAATTTTATTTTTCAATGGATTAATTCCAATAAATCACTTACCAATCTGCCGCTCTCCAGCCAATCTGAAAAGCAAAGCTGCCTAATAAAATTAATTAGCAGATTAGAGAGAAAAAATCTCCTAATTACTTTACTACCAACATGATTAAGGAAGAAAATTACTCGTATCACTTGTGAATGGGCCCTGATCATGCGCAGCCTTTGAATTTTTCCCTCGTGCTTTTTTAAGTCCAAGGTATAACGGAATCGCCGAGTCGCGTTGAGGACAAGAGCTGCTTGCTGTGAAAGTAGAAAGCACCCTTAAGCTCACATAAGGCGCCGCTAGACTTTATCAAATCCTAACGGTTTAAAAGAATAAGCTAGAACTGGAAACTCTGGACAGGACACTGCAATAAACAGAGCGACAAACTTTTCCTGAGGAAAAGCATTGAGGTCAGAGAAGCACGAACCAGACATGGAGGACATCAAATGAAGTGACATAAATTGAAAACAACTGTATTAAGTTAATATACTTTTACTTACAATCTAATGCGGTTTGTTTATTGGTGAATTTCAGATTCTTTCTTTCATGCCAGCTTTATTTCATGATCATAGTTTTACTCGCAGTATGACGCTAGTTAGTTACTTGGTCAGTTCTTGACTTTCCCTCTATGTCAACCTCATTTTTTTATCACATATCAAAGAATATATATGAAGGTATATAGAATGCATATGAAAATTATGATCTCAATGGGGAAGCACCTCCACCAAATTAAGATGCTGAATGCTTTTCTCCAGTGACATCAACTACTATTTCATTGCTTCACGTGCCTCAATACTTCCTTTTGCTTTTTCCCGGTTGCCGTATTCGAATGCAAACAATGCACCATTTAGTGATTTGGTCGCTAAGACACGGCCTTGCGTGGTGCAACACGCCAAGAGTCCTTAGGATCAAGTGAACCTCACATGGGTCCAACGGATCTTGGTATATATACTGCGCAGCGAACACATTCATTATTGACTTCTGGAGCGGACGTAGATGCGGATACTCATACCCGAATCCTACCTAAGTGGACACTTTCGATGAGACGGAACCCACACACGATGTGTTCTCGCACGATGCCATTCGCATTATGGATAAAAGTACGGCTTTACATAAATTGCAGAAAAAGAAACTGCATAAGGAGGTAAAAAAACAGAGGGAAGATTAAGGGAATCAATGAATGTGGTAATACCCTCCATCTCCTTAGAGTCTCAAGAGACGCGTTCTTCGTGTCCGCAACATCGAAAGGATCCGACTGGTCCACATTGTCCTCCTCCTCCCCTTCCCCGGGCAACTTTGGACCGGCTTCCACGTCGTTTTCACGGCCCGACATCTTGAAAAGAACGACGACGGTACAGATAGACACAAAAAAAAGTGAAGGACGAGATCAGCAAGACCTATTTATATTATATACGTCGACAACAGCCACCCGCCGGCGTCACCCTGCAAGAGATGGCACGACCGTTATGAGAAACAGCCCCCCGTTTCGAGCTAAGCTGTCTCCGGTGCCACCCCGCAACGGCAAGACAACCCACAAAAAAGAAAAGGGAGGAGGAGGAGCAGCAGAAAAACAATGGAGCAATGCGCGGGTACGTTGGTTGGAAGCTAATGATAGTGCGTGCGAGAATGAAGGCGAAAGCCGTTAGTGTTTGATGGTACGGGCGAGAATGTCGGGCATTTTTTCAGTTTCTCTTTCTCCAGAAGAAGATGTCTGTGTAAAACATAAAGAGGGTCTGCACGAACGAACTTTTATCTGCTGGGCGTTCTGTCTTGTTACTCACGGGTCAAAACCATAAGCAGAGACCGAGAGAGAGAGAGAGAGAGAGACCGGAGAACGAGGGGAGACTCCGCAACATCCGGCATGAAAACAGCTAGGAGAGAGAAGTAAAAATATGTTATGAGTGAGAGACAGTTCAGAACTTGTCGTCGCAGGCGATGAAGAAGATGATCAGGGAGGAAAAAACAAACCATTATCTGTGGAAATGATCAAAGCAGAAGCTTCTCTGAAGTTTCGCGCGGGAAAAAAGAATTGCGCCGTGACTAAGCGCACGCTAGGAGTTTGGTAGCCCACCGGAACCAATGATTCGGTGGTTAGGTGATGTCGAGGTCGGCTTTCCATCGATTGGTAGTCTATGCTCGTCGGGACGATCCTAAGGATGCCCGCTCATGCAGATCGGCCTGTTGCATTAATTCGGAATATTATTATGCCCGGGATATGAGGAAAATTCGCACTCGATACCGCAATGACGGGAGCAAACTTCTAACAACGGGCCGTTTCTCGATTCGGTTCAGTTCGGTCCGGTCCGGTCAATCAGGCGAGAGAGGCTGTGTTATCTGCTGATGTGGCGAGAAACGTGAACCCTGCGTTGACGTAGCAGATAGTGACACGGGACATGGAAGCTGGCTTTTGCATGATGATACCCACGTTATCAAACTATCAATCAAGAGAAAATAACCACGGACGGGACGGGGACGTTTCGAGTTTGACAGCACGGCACGGGCGGAGAAAATATTGGGGCGAGCTTAACACTCCACCTAGGATTTACTGTAAACTACCCACAATTTGACACGTGGCAATCGGGGGGTCCACGTGTCAGGGAAGAAACTCGTCTCTCTCTCTCTAACACACCTTCGCTCATGTTCTGACGAGCCTTCTTCAATTCATCTCTCCTTCGAGCTCAAGTTCTTCAAGCTTGACCCCGCCATCTCCGCCCGCACCCTATCCATGCCTCACCTCCCCGGCCGCCGCGCCTTCCCCCACCTCTTCCTCCGCGGCCGCAACCGGCGACCTCGACGACGGCGAAGAAGCGCTCCCCCGAATCTCGTGGTCGATCCAGAAGCTGCTGCGCTCGGTCTTCAAGCCGAAGACGAGCTCTACCCCTTGGCGTTCGGCGGCGTCGGCGGTCTGTACTCGCGCGTCGTCGGCGAGGACGACGGGTTTTACGTTGGGTACCACAAGTCCGGCGCGTTGGCCACGATCCCGGAGTCCCCGGAGGTTGAATATCTCGGGAAGTTGTCGCCGGAGATGGATCGGAGGGAGGCGATGGCGACTAGAAAGAGCATAGCTAGTCGTGCATCGGGAATGAGCGAAGGTGTTAGAGAGAGATGGAGAGCAGAGCGCGTGAGAGAGAGAGGAGAGAGACAAGTTTTTTCCCTGACATGTGGGCCCCCCTCCCCCGGATTGCCACGTGTCAATTTGTGGGTGGTTTACTGTAAATCCTACGTGGAGTGTTAAATTGGCCCAATATTTTCTCGCACCGATGGAGCTAGTGCCAATCGGTACGGGTTCGGGAGCGCGCGAACTGGGTCGGTCGGGCGGACGGGCAGCAGGCGGATCTTCACAGACCCGACGCGTGAGCGGACCCAGGCGGCAGTTTCCGTCGCGGTTTCGGAGGTCCCGAGAGTCCGTCATACCGCGACTCGCCTGAGGGGCGGATCACGGCGATGAAAAGCAACCTAAAGGGTTGCGGGCTACCAAGGCACAAGTCATGGACCGGTTTGCATCGACCGATACCGACGGACGGGTACACGGCGGAGCTTCGGTGGCCATCGGTGTTTGGTTTGCGTCGATTGATGATGGTGATCGGCTTCACAATATTACAATGAGAGGAAAAGTGCCAAGAACATATCTGATTACCTGATACGATACTCAAGTCCAATTACTCGATTAAATGATCCACCAATCAATTAGGACGCAATAAATCTCACATTCAAATCATATCTTCTTTAATCGAAGCAACACTTGGGATTTTACTCGATGTCATTAAATGCGGAAAAATATCAAAAAAGTCCTAAACTTTTTGCATTGGTACCAATTCAGTCCTAAATCTTTTGCATTTGTGCCAATTCAGTCCTAAAATTTTTGCATTTGTGCCAATTCGGTCCTAATCCTTTTGCATTTGTGCCAATTCAGTCCTAAACCTTTTGTATTGGTGCCAATTCAGTCCTTCCGGGTAATAGCGATTCGCGTTTCAAAGGACTGAATTGGCACTAATGCAAAAAGGTTAAGGACTAAATTGGCACCAATGCAAAAAGGTTAAGGACTAAATTGGTACCAATGCAAAAGATTTAGGTCTAAATTGGCACCAAAAAAAGGTTTAGGACTAAATTGGCACCAATACAAAAGGTTTATGAATTTTTTTTACACTTTTCTCCATTAAACAAGATTAGTCGAGCGGGTTTCAAACAGTCGGGCATGCTAATCGATTTTAAGTTAAATAAGTAAAATTAAGATATTCGAAATCATCGTCACTAGGAAAAAAAGAAAGCTTGTTTGAAGCGTGAGTTTAGCATAATGAATTATAATGAATGGAGGTGGGAATAGTAAAGGAGCGATGCAGCCTAGCTTAATACGACATTTTGAAATATATTTATATAACCATTGGGGTTTGCCCCAATGACCACCCTTCTTACTTGGGAAGGAGAGGGTGATGAGTTCGATTCCCCACCTGCTCGGGAAGTTAAAGGTGGAGATGTTTAGTTTTAGATATGGATTTCGATTCCCACGCTCTGCAAAGAGGCAAGGTTACGTGTCTTCTTCAATATTTTTAATGTTTACATTTTAAATTTCACTCTTTGCTTGATTGTTCTAAAAGAACGCCACGTCGGATTTTCAATCATTTGAATCGTCGGTGACACTAAAGTGATAGATTTTTTTATCAAACCGGCACTCAAGTGAACACTCAAAAAGTTTTTACACTGGAACGAGCGACATACGAAAATTATGACACTTATGGTGTTTTCATCCTCTTTTCCAATTATATAGTAAGCAGCGAATTTCAAAATATATTGTAGTAATAATAATAGTGATAAGTATACATAGACAACTAGGCAGATGATCAATCATGGTAAGATCAAAATAAAAATTAAGACACATAATGGGTATTGGTGATTTGTTATTTTTCTTTTCAATTTTCTAGATAATTTTAATGTTTCATTTTTTCGGTATTTTACTCTTACTTTGAATCCTTGGTGTTGGTTAAGAGTTACCTTACCAAATAAAGAGAGCTTGCACTCCTATAATGGCCTCCGCAGCCTATCCATTGGCTTTGCAGTGATAGCAACGCACCCCCCAATTTTTCCCGTATCTTTATCTTCCCGAGAAAATGGGAATGCTCTCCAAATGTTTAGTATCCCGAGTGATCTTAAGATTCGGATGAAATCGAGATATACCCTTTTAAGGACCTATTCTGGTCCAAGTCTTATGGGGGGAAATACCCCATCCGCTATCTTTCTCGAGGCGTGGGAGCTGCCTCTGACCCCCTCGGTGTTTGACGTCCAGTAATATTGGGGTCCGCAAGAGGTCCAAACAGTGCCTTATAAGGACATGCTCAGATCCAAAATTTTATGTTCTATTTCTAGATAACGAATAAATTGAATCTCAAGGCCATGGGCCTCCTTGGGCACGACAAAAAATAAAAAGAGAATATTTCCAATCGTGGGCCTGCGAATCTTAGTACAATTCCAATCATCAACGTCAAGGCCCAAGAAACTTAACCAGCCCCATGCACTCGACGGCGAGGATTCTCCATTCGGTGTACGGAGCAATCGGGACCGTCGATTTCCCAGGCCCCGAGCTTTTTCAAAGCGCTACAAAACCCTAGCTTTCAATCTCCCTCCTCCCTCTATGCGTAGAAGAAAGTACCCCCTCTTCGGCGCCGCTCAGTACGCGACCTCCCGAGACCGCCAGAGAGACGACGGTAAGCCTGAACCCGGCTCCCGTTTTGGGTAGCGTAACCTTGTTCTGAGTATCTTTTTGTCTGGGTCGATCTCATTTCTCTTGATCCGTTGCTACAAAAGTACTGGGTGCAGTGGTGACTTGCATTAGCTCGTGTGTTCTGTCTCGTTACTGATTAGATGCGAGTATTGAGCTCATTTGAGCTAATCTTGATCTGGGTTTGGTGTCAAGTTGGTTTCTTTGGCCTGCAATTTTCTTGGGTTCAATAGTTTTCTTTCCGCGAGTCGTGTATGGTGGAGTTCAGGCGTGAGACAAGTGTTTGTTCTTTTGGTGTTGGGGTTGGTCGTTGCCGGACTCAGACTTGAAGCTTCATTTGTTCAAAACTTCAGGGTTTTACTTTGTACGTAGCGTTTCTCCGGAAAGTGTCTGTTTTTTTGCCCATGATCTTTAGACTGATGATAGGTTGGAAATGGAAGGGGAATTACATGTGCAAGTGCCTTGATGGGTTGTGTGGTTAAGATGTGCGTGAGATACGTCTGCCTGTGCGTATGTGCCTGTAGATCAATGACATGAATCTTTCGATTCCGTTTTCATGCTGGAGAGTTGTATGGTGCTATTTTGGAAGCACTGTTTTGATCCTTTACGCTGGTTATGCTGTAGAAAGAAATGGCCGAAGTCAAGGCGGTGGTTCCGGAGTCGGTGTTGAAGAAAAGGAAGAGAAGTGAGGAGTGGGCTTTGGCGAAAAAGCAAGAGGTTGAGGCTACCAAAAAGAAGAATGCCGAGAACCGCAAGTTGATTTACGTCAGAGCGAAGCAATATTCAAAGGAGTACGCGGAGCAGGTACTTATGATTACTCTTCTCGATGATCCCCGCTATGGTGTTACCAGTTTATTAATATTCATCTTAGTTTATTCTGATGGCATTGCCTTTTCTCTACTGATTTTAACAGGAGAAGGAGCTGATTTGCTTGAAGCGCGAGGCAAAATTGAAAGGAGGCTTCTATGTTGACCCAGAAGCTAAGCTTCTGTTCATCATCCGGATCCGTGGGTAAGTTATTGCTAGTTGGCAAATAACATTATGACCAATCTTCTCTTTTTCTGATTTGTGATCTTTGTTACTTTCAGTATCAATGCTATGCACCCGAAAACAAGGAAGATCTTGCAGCTGTTGCGTTTGAGACAGGTAAGAGATTTTAGTTTGTGTGTGCAAGTGGTGACCATGAAGCTATTATGGAGGAGTATTTTGTGTTGATTGTAACTTGTGTAAAAGGTTTCACCTTACATGTCACTATGAAATTGCTCAATATGTATATTTATTAAAAGTCGGCTGTTGTATGCTGATCCCTATGCTCAGAAAAAGGAACAGGTTTACTTAATTCAGAATTGACCGCAAGATCCAATCATCATCACGAGTATTATCATGCTTTGGATGGGCTTGTGTTTTGTTATGGTAGTAATGATGGAGTCAATTTCTATGGGTGATGTTAGTGTCATCAGCAAGGAATTAATAACATTGCACGCTTCTTTTGAGTTGGCCTTGCTTATTAATTATTTATACCTGCATTTTTCCAATCGTGCTTCTGTTGGAGCAGATCTTTAATGGGGTCTTCCTCAAAGTGAACAAAGCGACTGTGAATATGCTGCACAGGGTTGAGCCTTACGTGACTTTTGGGTATGCTCTCATTGATTTTGTTACCTCTATGGCCTCATGTTTTTGTGATGCATCTCTACTGATCTGTTTGATGCATGCCTGTTAGGTACCCCAACTTGAAGAGTGTGAGAGAACTGATTTACAAGAGGGGGTTTGGAAAGTTGAACAAGCAAAGAATTGCTTTGACCGAGAATTCAGTCATTGAGCAGGTTTCATTTACTTCTTGGTTATATCTGTGATTCAATTCATGCTTGTCCTCTTGCTCTTTGAAGTTTCTCTTGTTAAAATGTGTGAGTAACGTGAGTTGATTTATGTACAGGCTTTGGGCAAGTATGGCATCATCTGCATGGAAGACCTCATCCATGAGATCATGACCGTCGGACCTCATTTCAGGGAAGCTAATAACTTCCTGTGGCCATTTAAGCTCAAGGCACCACTGGGGGGCATGAAGAAGAAGAGGAACCACTATGTCGAAGGAGGAGATGCTGGAAACCGTGAGAATTACATCAATGAGCTCATCAGGAGGATGAATTAAGCTTGTCGCAGCAGTTCTGGTAGTTTTGCTATTTTGAGGCTTTGCATTTTGCAGAAAGACTTTTAGTCTTGGTTCATTTTCAAGCAGGATAAGGTTTTGCTCTGAAGTCTTATCTTTGTGATGGTGTTTGCCTTTATTCAATTGTTTACAATCAAAGTTCCTATATTTAGCCAACCAAACCAAGATTCGGTGGACACCTGTGTTGAAATTGAGGTTGCATTTTTTAGTATTAATTGTCATCGCTGAGAAGTTGCCTTGAAAGCGTTTGAGATGAGAAAACAGTGTGCATTCTACTCGAGTCACAGATTGGCCGCATTTGGTTTAAGCTTTTGGGGAAAATATTTGGAAAAATGTAATTTAACTTTTTAGTTAAAAGAGTTTTTTCGAAGTGAATGTTTGTTAAAGTGTGATTTAGAAGTGTAATGTGAAGCAATTTTGGTTTTAACGTTATTTGTAACCGACAAAAGTGCTTTTGCTAATTTTAGAAAATCCCCTCAAACCTTCGTCGGATGCCGATGAAAGGTTCAAGCTAATGGCAAGCTAGATCTTAGCACAGGTGGCTCTTGCTTGAGCTAGATCATGCGTCCTTAGGCGATGGCTGCTAGAGTCGTGGGATAATTGCCAAAAAAAGAAAGTCTTAATTATAGATTTCGATTCAGTTTTAAATATTTTAATTTAATTAATTTAATTTAAAATCTTTTGACGATTTGTAAATATAATTCTTTTAGTCAATTTTAGCCAAAAATTATAGACATGGATGTCATCGTCCTACGTGGCAAAGCTGAGCTAACATAGATAATTTTTGCAAATTTTTAAAGAAAAATTAAAATTTTTAATTAATTCTTTGTTATTTTCTTTCCTTTTCATTGTGCCAGTGAGGGGCTAAGTGAGGGCCACGACCCTCGTCGGCCACTATGAAGAAAAAAAGAAAAAAAAATCAAAAAAGTCATTAAAATGTTTCAAAAAATAATTTATGCTAATGCTAGCTGTACTATGTAGTACGATCGGTGACTACTTTGTTGATTTCCGGCTCAAATTGGCTGAAATAACTATATTGACAAATTGTCAAAATGTTTAAAACTAAATTGATCAAGTTCGATGAAAGGTTTGGGACTAAATTAGTATCCGTAGGTATAAGAGGTGTTTTGTAATTTTCCCCGGGGTCCGCAACCACAAGCGAGGTTCGCCGGCGATCACACCTGGGCCGCCAGAGACGTCGAGTGAGATAAGGGCATTTACGAAATTTTGAAAGTTCAGTGAGGGCAAAATTGAAAGAAAAATTTATATTAGCATTTCGGAAATTTTTGAAGCCCTAAGCTTTTACGGATCTATCTTGGGATTTTAGAGAGCTTTGAAAATGCAATCGCACCTCTGAGAAGCAATTCAAAAAATTTGTCAAACGCGATTTGCATTTTGTCCGAGGGTGTTTGAGCCCAAAGGGCTTTGGCAAAGTATGACTGAACGCAACCTACATAGGTGTAACGAGAGACGAACTGGAAATTGCTGAAATATGCTCACCTTTTCAAATCCTGTGAGGACTTTAATTATTTATTATCCACTCATTTAATAAAAAAAGACAATCGTATCATCTTCGGGCACACAACAATCAACTTCGAAGCTGCAAACACACTTCCAATATCTTTCCTTCGGGACTGTAAGAATAAAGAATCTAGGAGAAGGAAGCCATGGATGGCATCAAGCAGGAACGAAGCGGGTGGAGCAGATGATGCAGTAGAACTTGGTCTTGACTTTGTGAGAAATGGGAATGAAACAGAACCGGAGTTCGACAGCGCAGGTGGCCACCATCACGGGGCCTCCGCAGTAACAGCAGAGAGACCCGGCTCCCTCGCTCTTCATCACCGTCTCTTTCGCGTCGAATACTTGCGTCGCCCCCATCCTTCCGGTACGATCGATGCCGGATCTTCAATATGTGTACATATATATATAGCAGACGAGCTGGTATTGAAGGAGCAAATGGAGTGCAAAATTGATGAAAGTTCCGTGATACACCCGGCTGATGCTCTTGGAAGGTTCCTTCGTTCCCACTGGGAATTTTAGACGGAGCAGATTTAGGGACGTTAACTTAACTTTGCAATTTTGACCAAGTCAATTTTCTTTTAGCACAACGTGTGAGGTCCCACTCAAGAATTCTGCTAACTTTGCGTGTCTTCTCGAGCAGAAATAGCTGTCTTCATTGATTATGTAGATGAAGGGAAGCAACCGATCGCAGAAACCAGTAACTTTCACATCTCTCAGCAGCGAAGGGTAATATACACTTGCCTCGTAGACATGTTTGATCTCCGGCTGATCGACAGATTCTGATCGCAAGCAAACCCCAACGAAGGAGTCTAGCTGTCTTTGCGACCTCTCCGTTAACCGCTTGCGACAGTCATGCCTTCATTTTGACGATGGGATCATGCCATCTTGGGTAAAAAGTCGGTGTTATCTCAAATTACCAAACTTTAGATGTATCCGCCGTTCAAAAGCTAGCATATGCTCAAGTACATGGATCCTACTTCTATTTTTCTTACAAGATTGTGCTCTCAGACGGCAGTAACATAAGGCTCGGTTCATCCAACTGGTCGAGTTAAAGTTACAACTGCTGAGATTATAAGAGGTCCTCAGCTGCAAATAGAACAAGACATTCGCCAAAGTCGGAGTGGCTAAGAGAAGTTTCAGTAACAAACGAGCCGGTAGAGAGAGACGAGAGAGAGAGAGAGAGAGAGAGAGAGAGAGAGAGAGAGAGATCTTATTAATGATTTCGTTTCTCCTATCCAATCACTCTTCCTACTATACATCAATAATCATGGACTATAATACAATAAGGCTTCCTGTGCTTTGAAAGATGTCGACCCCTTGCGATCAAACTGGAGCCTACAAGTCCCAGCCAAAAATACTCGAGCCTGCATTAAGCCCCAAAATCGATCTTTCCTGTGGACAAAAATTGAGCCACATTCACGGGGAAAAATGGTCAGATCTGCTTTAAATGCACATGAATGATCATGGAGATTGGTCGATTGGGTTGTGGGCTTCAATATCGACATGCCGAATACCCGGAACAAGCTCTTGTATTTCCTTTTCTAACCTATCTACTTCACTCCCCAGAGCTGTAACCACTTCCTCACCTGCACGTCAAGACCAGAAGTAGCTCATCACATGGTAAATCATAATATCTCAGAAACATTACCAGTGACATTCAGAGAAAAGTCATTTTCCCCAAGACATACCGTAGCGTGACATGACCTCAAGCAGTGCGCTATCACCCTTCTGTTTTGCAGTCTCACGGAACTGTGCACGAAAAATTCTCAGTAAGTTATGCATCAAAGCCAGGAACATACGTGAGAGAGAGAGAGAGAGAGAGAGCGCTCCAATTAAGGACCAAACAAATTGGGGCAAAACTGAGTATCTGCGGCTGTGCACAGGAAATTTAATTGCTTTAATTAGCCCATCACAGCCTCAAACCCCTGCTGCTATCATACAATCAGTCACAGGGTAACTCTATCTCTCACCCACCTAAATTGCTCACTGCTCGATTCCTTTTTGAATTCCCAAGAAAATAACTCCAGAATAAGAGGGGAAAACAAGCTTGAAGGAAGTATCCATGGGCCATTAAAGATGGTATGAACAACATGATGGTAGCAGATAAATCAGGCAAAAATGTAGCCAAGTGTTCAGGCTTCATGTAAGATAAGCTTGCAGATGTGTAAAAATTATCAGAATTTGCAGTGAAATAGTTCGAAACTCTCAAAAAAGAAAAACTCGACAGATTAAGCACATATCGTGTTTAGACAAATAATTGATACGATAGATAACAAGTGGCCAGAAAAAAAAATGAAATTCATGTACCTGTCTTGCCCACTCCTCACGCCCGGTCCTCTCCAGATAATTTTGTACCACCACTACCCCGTTAAAATCTGTGGCAGAAAGCAAACTCAAATAACACAAGTACAAGAGCCCAAAGTTCATGAACCAACACTTTCACTTAGGTCCCAACATGTCATCGACTTCTTTTGATTCTCAAGGGCTCAAGGGTACAGAGCATCATATATACATTAAAGGAAACACAAAGCCTTGTCTTTAAATCCACCAACAATGACTTACACAAGTAGAAGTATGACTTCAAGAAGATATTTCAAGAAAAAGTTCACCTGACGAGACAAATGTAATTATGCACGTCAATTTGGACAAATCCTAATGACTAGCAACTCTTATCTATGCAAACAGTGGGAAAGAAATTGCTGCAGGGATATCCTAGATTCATTGATAAGAACTCGGTTAATGTTAACGTCCCATCCTTACCCAGATTCTTGCTACGCAATGAAACACTGCAAATAGTACATTGGGTTGAAACATCTAAAAACTAAGCGAACATGTCTCAGGCCCTCAGCACTGAGTCCGGAACTAGCCACTAGATCAAGACAATGGTGTGTGTATCCATCATACAAATCATTTTTCCTTGCATATATTGGTAGGACGAACATAATTAACCTTAAAGAAAACACATAAACAAGCAGACGACCCCAACAACAACCAGTAATCATGAATTATGCAGGCACCATTCAGTCCACTAGTCTAGTCTACAGCTATTGATAAGAACTTCGTCAGAAACTGTGGGATAAGCTACGAAGTTATACCAAATATGCACACAGAAGGTCAATCTCACTAAAACCCCAGAAAAAGTTGAACCTCGTCAGCAAAGAAAAAAGAACAAGAAACTTTTTACTTAGCTGTGAAGGAAATAAAAACTAAAGAGGAGGTACTATGATGCTCATCGCATAATTAATACAAAAAAGTAAAAATCCATTAAAGAGTAAACGACTTTGTAAAAGCCATAATGCATTATTGAATATGCAAATGAAAATGCATAGGTGAAACTCCAAACGAAAAGATAAAACAATAATAGGCCATCTTCTCCAATGTTTAAGAAATCTTAATTTGAGTATAAAGTGAGAGAAAAACAGCAGAATGGTCACCTATTTCTGCCTTAAATCTGAAGAACCCAGGTCCAATCACCTCACTTTTGCAATCATACAGAGCATCAACAGCCTACAACAAGAGCTTTAAATTGTAAAAACAAAATGATCCAACAGTGGTGCTAGGTGAGGTACTTCCTTATTAATGTGCAAAACAACTATAAGTAAGGTTTGAAATCACAACTCTTCAGCATAGTTATACCGGGTCATTTTTCAAAAATCGAAGAACCTTTTCCATATCATGTTGGTCCATTGCTCTACCAATTAGGGCATGTCGATTTCTCTGGATGAGAAATATTGCCACCTGCCAATATAATGAAAGAGTTAGAAAGTTTAACCTTGTCACCTCCTCTTCAACCAAATTTTGAGACTACTACCAGCAACAGAGAGAAACTGGGGATTCCAAGCATGAAAAAGAAATCTCTATGCAGTTTAAATTCACAATAGACTTCTTTACTCGAAAATATGATTGCACGACAGTACTTTTTCTCCTCTTTATCAGCATGGACTGTTCATCGTTTGACATAATTCACATAGTTGTAAAGTACTAATTGCACTTCCATTCACTACAAATTAGATACAGTTAAGCACGGAAAATTGGATGGATGCAATGTACCATCCCAAGTAGATTGCCAACTATAATAGATCCGATGGGATCATAGATTGGATTCCCTGTGGTGTTTACAGCAACCAATGATGCACCAGCGATGAGAAGTCCTGTTACTGCAGCTCCATCCTGTATATTAAAAAACATTAATGGAGAAAGTAAAAGAACAAACTGTAGGCTTTATGAAGATATACTACAGTTATTAATAAATTCATCAAACAATATAGCAACACGAGCATTAACCTACAGCTATGGCTATTCCAAAGGTAGCAGTTAACCATACTCCTAAGGAATTCATCATACACTAGATGCTAGGACTCAAAAACCAAATAAAGCTTCAGATGCGGATCAAATTGAAGCCATACGACCAATTTTAGAGCAATTTGACTTCAATCAGTGGAACTTATTCTATTATACATGAAGATTTTTTCTTCCCATTGACCCGAAGAGTGTCCACAAAGTTAGTCCTTCGCAGTGGTGAGATATGCACTCACTAATGTGAATTTCACTTAGCTACTGCCAGTAAATCTAATCCCTAATACCAGTAAGTCTTGATGCCTATTGCCTATGTATATAGAAGAAACCAGTAATTCATTAACAATACGGTAAAAATGTCTTGTCGATGAAACGCGTAAAAAAATTAATTTTATGGCCTTCAGAGGAATAAGATTACAGCAAGAAGCCTCAAATTACTTCCACATTAAGTGCAGATGCCATGCTACACAAAGCAATGACAATAACATCACTCGCACCTTAATTTAGTGTTACAATTGTCCATCATAAATGAAATGAACTATATCAAGTTTTAATGTGATTCACACCAAAAGAACAGTTAAACGTTTTAAATATCACTTCTCCAGTAACCTAATGGGGGGCAAGGACGGCCACTTATATTGTAGTAATTAAAGCATAGTATTTCTGCTTAATATACTAGATACTCCAAAACCACTTATTAACAAATGCTTCTTGATCATTAAATCCCACTTCAGAGATTGAGCTCTCTCTCAAACACAACAAAATAGCTTTCCCCAGTGAGTGGAAATACAACAAAATCAGAGTTAAGTATAATGAACTATTTGACCAAAGAGAGCTCAAGAACAACCCGGACGACTAAGTATAATGAACTGACAGTTATTAAGGAAAAGATCGGTCATTGACAAATGACAAGTATCTTTTATCATCTAAACGAATAACTAGAGAACAGAAGGTCAACAATCATTGCGTATCTTCTAAAATGAGGTTAAGTTCGCATGGAGTACCCCAAATAAACTAGAAGCACAAGAAGAAAGCATAAGGACACCTTCCTTTGTCAGCAGCACTACAATCTCCACATTTGAAATATGCGACAATGCCAGGCATGATGCATGGATCCAAAAACATCTTTGGCATTTAATACCCTAGATACAATCTTTTGGCATTTACATCCTTTGCTACATTAACACATCAGTCGCTTCTTCTTTTTTCCTTTTTCCTTAATCCGTCTATCAACCTATCCTGCTAAGCATTTTGAATGTCTCCATTCCTCATATTCTTTCTCTAGCAAAAGAACGGCAGCAGAAGAGCAGTTATTACCTCTGTCATAACTGCCACAGATGTGGGATCATGACCACGCCAGATATAATCCCTCACCTTCATGCCCTCTGCAGCTGCACCTTTCTTGACAGCTTGTACGGCAACAATGAGAGAAGCGCCTATATAACAGCAACTGTTTGATTATTTAAATGGTTGACATTGATAAACAGCATTTGATCCATGAAGAACTAATGATTTCATTATGAGTAGCAGCCCAAAACAAACGGTAAGTCGTAATACCTTCAATCATGAATGAGCCTCCGATCACTAAAGCTGCATATTGGATATTTTCCGGAGGCTAAAGAAGACAATGAACTTGTATATCAAGAACAACTTTGCCCATTTTATGAACTGGCTAAAACTTGAGAATAATGGTAAAGGATAAGAAAAAAAAGAAGATTACGTGTGCAACCCACAAGTTTTGAATTCCATTAACAATCGTAGCACCAGAACCAAGACAAAAAATGCCAACAGCAGATATCAGAGCCCAAACAAATCTTTCTTTGGAATACCCGTAACTGCAGAAAATGAGAGAACATAGTGAATACTCAGAAGAAGAATGAATCTCTGCATATGGGTCAAGCTCTCAGCAAGTTTGATAAGTTCATAACTTACATAGAACTAAAACTTTACTACTCTAACAATCCTTTTCTAATTTCTATCGAAACTATGCCCCCACTTAATCACTACATCATGTCAAAGGAATATCAAATTTGGTTCCTGCTGGACTTATAGCCCAACTAACAAAATTAGAAATGTAAAAACATTTCTTCCAAGTAACAGACAAGGAAATACAAAGGAAGATCTTTTCATAGAAAAGGCACAGATGCAAATCCCAAGTCACAGTGAACTCATACTACAATAGTTAGCAAAATTAGAAATATAAAAACAATTCTTCCAAGTAACAGCCAAGGAAATACAAAGGAAGATCTTTTCATAGAAAAGGCACAGGTGCAAATCCCAAGTCCCAGTGAACTCATACTACAATAGTTACCATATCAGAGAAGGATGCAAAAAATACTTTATTCAGTGAAGGGACTTATTACGTGAATACTCACGGATGCAAAGCATCGGGTGCGCACCTTGAGCTAGTAAAACCAGCCAAGGAAATACAAAGGAAGATCTTTTCATAGCAAAGGCACAGATGCAAATCCCAAGTCACGGTGAACTCATAATACAATAGTTACTATATTAGAGAAGGATGAAAAAAATACTTCTATACAGTGAAGGTACTTATTACGTAAATACTCACGGATGCAAAGCATCGGGTGCGCGCCTTGAGCTAGAAAGACCATAAGCAAGCAGCACCTACAACATTAGCAAGCATTAGCTTCTCTGTGCTCAACGTTCATTCAGACAAGTGTAAACTGCATGATAAAAGTAATTAATAATAGATCTTTGCAGATAATAGTGTCACAAGATACCTGATTGGCAAAATCTGCAACTGAATGAACAACTTCAGCCATCATAACATGACTTGAGGTTGCTAACCAGACTCCAAACTTCAGTGAGAAGACAAGGAAGTTACACCATAATGCAGTTGTCACTGCTCGTTGACTGATTAAAAAATTAGGCCGGGCAGAGAGAAAACAAGTGTTACTAGGCAAGAGAACTATGCCTACAATTAATCTCTTAGTAACTCAGGCATCAATAGATAATAACAAATCTACACACAAGGATCATCACAATCAAACGGCTGTAATATTTGTGCTGCATTTCATTAGGCAATGGAATTCCCAGTATGCTTAAGCTTAATCAGTAATAAGAAGTATCCAGGAGAAGCAACAGGGAGAACCGACCCATTTACTTAAAAATTTGAAGTAAGAACAGGAATCAGCAAAATGAGAGGAATGCTCAATCGTGAAATGGGATCCATTAAAAGCAAGTGAATCATATATCACAAAATCATAAAAGGTTTCAGCATTTTCTTGTTTCCCACATACGGCAAAAGGGACTAACAATCAACAATGATGACTTTTCCCGTCTCCCACACAAAAATATATGGTACGGAGTCAATCGTATTTTGGCCACAGAACTGGCAGAGACCAAGTTAATCATGGCAACGAAATGACTAAAAAGCAAAAGGGCCTATCTTAAGAAAGATAAATAAGGACGTGCCAGAAAAGTTCTTTCTATTTGGATAACTTATTAACAAAAGATTCTGCTGCCTCTTTGCAAGTGAAACATCTTTCAACAAAACTCCTTTTCGGACAAGCCAATGATTGTAAAAATCACTTCCGTGGATTCTCCCACAAGACAAAGGATCGCAAAAGTTCTTAAATTTGAACAAGGATAACCGAACACCAAGCACTCGAGTTACACTTATATGCTGCAGCTAGAAGGACTTCATTAAAAGCTTCTTTTTTGTAGTCCCTCTATAAGCATGTCTCACGTGTCAATCTTTCAACTCAATTCATCGAATTCTCTAATTCAAGAGTAACGGCAACCTAAAATAACAGATCCCATGAAAGAACTGCAACTGGAACAATCAAAGATGATTTAACGGCCTGTTAAACCCAAACAAGCACTAGAAACAGATTCAGCATGTACTTGAGATGCCACATCCTCTATCATTCCAAAAGATAAAAAGTTGCTATTCCCTAAACCACTACCACTACACTGCACTATGACTATAGCTTTCTCTTTCTCCCTATGTAGGGTTCATACTAGGCCCAGGCACCAACTCACCCAACCTAACCATTGTTACAACCGGCAAATCGCGCAATGCAGCACCAAACCAACCCAATCGCACAATAAGGCAACGAGGGACGGTGATGGAAGAGACCGCGGTACGGTACCTGTGTTCGTCGCTAATACTTATCGGCTTCAAATGCTTTTGCTTGGCTCTCGTGAAAAAGTCTACAGATTTGAGCAACGTCGTAAAGTAAGCCAGGATCAAAACTCAGAAAAGAAAGAACATAACAAAGATTATACTAGTTGAGCGGACATACTGCGGTAAGTCCAGCACTGGTGGAGGTGATGATAATGATGGCGGCCACCGCACTGCGCGAGCGAACCGGTCAAGCCCAAGCGCCCGGAGGGGCGAGAGCCAAGACCGTGATCGAATAGAGGGAGCGAAGATCGCGCCGACGAGTGATCGGGGCTCGGGAAGGAGCCCGGGGGCGACGGGATGCGGGAGGCGTCGTCGTCGGAGCTCCGGCGGCCGACACCGCCGCCGCCGCCGCCGCCGGCGAGGAGGGAGAGGGAGAGGTGAGGGGAGCAGCGGGGGTGGCGCAGGCGCAGGCGGGAGAGGAGGAGGAGCCCGAACGGCGTTCTCATCGGAGAAGACTCCGCGGTCCGTCCGTCCGTCCGTCCGTCCGTCGCCGCCGCCGCAGATTTCACTTCCTTCTCGCTGCTCTCTGCAACCTGAAGCGCCACTCCATGCCCGGAGGGAGGAGGGAAGAGAGAGAGAAAAAATACTCAAAAAAAAGCATATTCTTTTCCTTCCTCGCTTGCATAATATTTTGTGGCCTAATTCATATGGAAAAAAGGCATTTTCGCCCCCTTAATTTTCCAACTTTTTGATGTTTGGCAGGCGGAAAATTGATGGGAAAACGACACAAATGGTTGTTAAACTTTGGCCTAATGCGCAACGCAATCTCTAAATTTTCAATTGAGTCAAATTTCAGGGACCATTTGTTTAGTAAAGTTGTCATGGACCATATTGCACATTAAGCGAAAGTTCATTGATCATATTAAATTAATGAAAATTTAGAAACTACATTACACATTAGATCAAAATTCAGAAACCATCTATTTCATTATCCCAAAATTAATCGATATGAGAAATCGTTTTCTCTAAACTGAAAGCAACAAACTTAGATCAAGGGAAAAAAACGACTTCTTCTTTTTAATAGAAAAGAAATCGCTTTCTCTAAATCAGCCTGACAAATATAAACTAATCATTTTTCTTGAAAATGATTTTCGTTAGAAAAATAATTTCCTATCGTCACCAAGTTTTTCGGTAAAGCAAAACTCTGCCCCAAGGTTTGGTTGAGATCCAAATCTGACCCCCATCGACTTGGTGCAGTCCCCAAAAAAGGGCAGGGAAAAGGGAAATCTTCAGTGTCTTCTTCCTCTTCTCCTCCTTGGCATCATCCAATCATTGAAAAAACGATGAAATGAAAACGAAAGGAGAAGGGTGATCTTAACTCAAATGGCCATGTCACAAGGATGAATATAAGGAAATTTTGCTTGTTCTAAGGCAGAGACACTGAGAGAAAAAGGAAAAAGTGGGGGTAATTTTCATGATAAACCGGTCCGATATGAATGTTCTGCCTTTGATCGGACCAAAGGACCCCAAATTTTCGTTTCGATAACCTTTAGATCGAGGTCTTAACTCGAAAGATCAACAGCTGGACGCGATTTTTATCGCGAGAACGACCAAACCGCCAGCACAACATCTAATCTGTCAAAAGTAAGTATAGAAAGGAAATTCACCGTCTGATGAGCTAGGGAAAGGGAGTTTACGGATCACATCCAGAGCTACAAATGAGTCTCTCACCAAAGAAAACAAAGACTCGTATAGCAATTAGGGAGATACCCTGTCCCTCAATAACAATGACTCTGGAAATAGCCTATACCCTATACATTATGCTATCCTCGCCGCCGTGAGGCTGTTTGACTCATCACTACCGCATCGAATGTTCTCTTCTTCTAATTGGGACCCCCAAACCATAGGGCAACCAAAAATTAGAAACCGGCAGACTCGACCGGTCTACCTGCCTGGGACATGTAATTTAGTGGTCTCCTGCTCGTGATCGGCCCGCCTTCCTGTTGCGCAACCTAATAGTCGGCTTCTGTTGCTCGCCCGGTTTCGCAAGATTCATCGCATCATTCCTTGGTACGATTCTAATGGGGTGCGCTTCCGTGTTGAACACCCATTCGTCCAAGGAGATGACCGAAGAGGGGGAGAATAGGAGGTAGAGATATTTAAGCGTCTCCGCAAGAAAGAAGGTTTGCATCTTGTTGTCTTTGACTCCACTGTTAACCTGGTAAACACAGACATTAGATGACAACAGTGAGTGATCTATGAACACGGCGTCTTGGAGGTGAAGGGTGAACAAATCAAAAAGTTTAGCCGAAAAAAGAAATCTGAAAATAGGGCATTAGAAAAACGAAAGATGATCATTGATTAAGAAAACCCTTACATCTTTGAGCCCCACGTATCCTGATTCTATGCGAGAGTTCTTTTCGAAGGCTTGGAATATATTCCAACCCCATTCCTTGTAGGTCTTGTTACCAGTCAAGCGCCAGAGGTAAAAGAGCGACTCAACTGTCTCTGGCCTGAGTATGTTCCACGATGTACCCACACTCATGTCCTGTAAGTCACAACATATGTTAAAGAAAGCTCCAGAATATCCTAGGAAAGCAGTAATTTCACAAAAAGGCCAGCTACCTGCCCAGTATGAAAGAAGTAGTTTTCGCCCGCTAATTTTGTTGGAGTGGACTGATAGAAGTTATAGCACGTCCACGCAAGCTGCATAAAAGGGCATTAATCAGACTCCATAAAGCAACGCAAGCATGGATGTGGATGATCTAAGTGAATGCATTGAGTTTCATTTGTGTCCCATACAAAAGCAAAGTCTTTGATTTCCCTTCCATAAACAGACCCTAAAGCGTTTCGTACCACCATAAAACCTGGTTGCAGATGATAAGATTCATATAGTTTCGTCACTGATACAAGAATCCTATACTATGGCTCATCTGTTAGTTCTGTAACAGTTAGTGCTCTAGGCCTAAAGCCTCAAGATATCTGGAGTATTTATGAATGTATACATAGTTTGCAAAAAAAAAAAAAATTGCAACATTAACCAGGAAGATGTCTACAAAAGAATTGTTATATTCGCATCTACATAATTAGTCTTATGCCGCTACCTCTTCTGCAAGTGACAGAAACTTCTGCGACTCCTCTGGGCCATATCCAAATGATCCTAAAGCCAGCATACCTGGAGCAAAGCATGCTAGTTCATCCATCTGCATCCATTTAGAAAACAAAGAAAATAATCTTGAGCATGTCATAGTATACTGATCAATATAATAATCATCCACAACAAAGATACATGGACATAAATCGATGCAGCACTGCAGGGATGAGAACCATATATCACCTTGTCAGTTAAAGAGTGCCCGTTCTTCTCACAGATGTAGGTAAACGATGATGGTGTTGTTTTCCGAACCAAGCTCAAAAGACCTTTCATTGATCTTTCCCACATTTCCCTGCTTTCCAGTTTTCCAACAGAGTTGATGAGAGAAATAGCCAAAGCAATTATAATTGTCAATGTGTTGTTAAACTTGCTATACAATTCAACTCGGACTTCAATCAGGGCAAAAAAAAAAATCATGTTTGAAATATAAACAAAAAAGGAAACAAGTAGAGCACAAGGAAACAAGCTATTGGTAAAGTACTTTTTTAGCCAAATCAGAAAACAAACATCTTGGCTTTTGACCCACAATCAAACAGTAGAGACCGAAACTTCTGCAGTGAGCAAGTCTGAAAGTTTTTATCCTCAGACAAAAGTACCATTTTAAGTGCTCTAGACTATGGCAATAGTAAGCCACTTCTGATACATGTAAACCACTAAAAAACCAACTCTTAATGACTAGTGCCCACTATTCCACAGCTTACCAACACATTTAGTCCGCAATTTTCAGGAAAACCTTCTGCAGAGATTTAAAAACAGATTTTTTAAAATTTTTTTTAATAAAAAACAGATTTTATGCAGTTAAAGGTTACATTTGTTAAAGGATGACAAAAAATTATGTCACCATGGTCACTATAACATCTACTGCTAAAAATTAAAGGTGAGGGTAAATAATGCTCAAGCAACATCTTGTCAAGTTGGCAATTAGGAATCCTCAAAACCGTTGACATAACATAAGGATGGCAAACGATTATATCGCCACTGTTATTGTGAAATCTACCGAGAAAAGTTAAAGGTGAGGGTCAGATGATACTCAAGGAACATCTTATCACATAGGTGATTAGTTCTCAATAAAATTAAGATAAAATTACTCACAAAGCAGGGTCGACATATAGAAAACTGAATTCCTCCTCTTTACCAACCAGGTGGTGCATACAATTTTAAGCATTCAGGTGAGAAAAAGTAAAACTTCGCAAGCAAATTTGGTGAAGTAATTAAAAACTGTAAAAGATACAAGCCAACTAATACCTTGCGGTTATAAGCGAGCATGAAAATATACACCAAACTATATGAAGCAACTAAAAGTTCTCACCTATAAGGCCTTACAGCTGCAGTTTTATTCCCTTGTACCCAAACTTTGAGCAAATATTCATAAAAGCTGCAGAAAGAATTTCAACCAAGTCATTGACTCGCACTAGGCTACCACAATGCCTCTTTCAAATTGTCAGTGCCAAAACATAGTATTCTCCGAATGAGGTTCAGTAGAAGCTTGAAGTTGATTGTACAGGATCATGTTTGTGAAAAGAAATGGTAACATGAGATCATAATCATTGCATAATGTTAGTACCTATCCCCCATGGCACCAAAGGTTATTGCTGAATAAGAAGATGTTCCACTTTCAGGATTAATGTATATGGGCAGCAAACCATCATCTGGAAAGCTTCGGTTAAGAGCAGATATGACATTCTCCGCCTGATGCATCAACACATTATCTATTTGAAAAGTAACTATAGTTTAACCTGAAAAAAGGAAAGAACGAAAGATATGCTCTATCTTTCCCATTTTAGACTTTTAAGTAACCATGGACAACACCAACTAAACCATTCTGAAGGAAGTCCAGATCCCAAGTAAGTAAATCAGCCAATAGAAGTTTCTGTATAAGATGTTCGAAAAAGAAACTCTTCTTCATCCTTGAAGATCCTTATGATGAGCACAGGTAGAAGCTTTAGAAGAAATAATAAGCCATCTACTGGCCAGCATACACACACACACACACACACCTGGCTCTTTGTAATCTTAAATGAGCACATAATGTGGAAGTACTTCACTTATCACCAACACATGTCTTACAAATATCATGCATATACCTTCTGTTGATACTTTGGATCTCCTGTTCTCTGAGAAAGAGCAATGAACTCCACCTGTTCTGTGCCAGAATCAGCCAGGATACTGTTTCCCTAAAAGCATACAGAATGCAAACCAATCAGATCAACTTCCCAGGTATGGATATCTTGATAATTAAACTTCCAAAGGACACAACAAACATAGGTTGCGAATCAAGCCAACTATAATGATGCATCCAATGGAGGTAAACTGGTGGAGGGCCTACCTAGTAACTTCAGTAAACAAACTGAGGCTCAAAATTAATCGCACCTCAATTGACTAAAAAAGCGAGGATTATTAACTTTCACCAGAAAAAATATGAACAAAACCAGAGAAATTAAGCAGTGGAAGGCACAGATCAAAACACTTCATCAGACAATGATTGGTTTTAAAGCATGCTAAAACATTATGGTTCCAAACAATTTGATTAGGTGAAATGCGTATCTACGCAATGAGGGATCCTTTTCTTCTTCGAAACATTAACTCATGGAACAAGAAAAGGCCAAATAGAAGGTACTTAGAAAAGACTTGAAAACTTCTACAAATTCAATGGAAAAAACAAAATATAAGCTTACCCCAGTCCATCCAGGGTTATGTGCATTCCCACGTGCCAAGTTGATAACATTGTATGGAATCCCAGAGGGTGTATTCCATGCAGGCAGAAGCCTATCAGCAATATCTCTAGCCTTCTCTAGAAAAACTTTATCCTCTGAAAGGTCATAAGCACTCAGAAGTCCGCCTACAACCCTAAAGGAGCAATGTATAAGCAGAAGCAGTATCAATATGCCATTTGCTTCCAACAAATAAAATGCATTTTGGTTATTAAATCAAGTTGACTCAAATGAACACAAAAGAAACCTTCTAAAGTAACCTTATGGTTGTCTCAAAAACACTAGCCTCATAATCCTTGTTAAAATCCAACGTATTTGCAACCCACCTGCAACAAGCGGCAACTAAAATTAAACTTCAACAAAGACATGTAAAGGTTGAATCACAAATCTGATAAAAAGAAAAAAGAAGCATCAAACACCCGTCATTAGCTCAACATTCACAGATAATCACCAAAACACAATACACCTACTAAATCATTAGCTATCTTTCCTATTTAAGGGCAGGATTCCTTCCATGAATTATAAACTTTGAAATGGACACGTGCACTGCACTCCATGATAGAAGGTAACCGTCAGAAGGCACTAGATTGAAGTTAAAACTTACTGTCTTGCCCTTTGAAACTCCTCTTTCAGTCCCATAATATACAGTGTATCAAGGGAATCTACAAGAGTTGCGCCAAGGCCACCAAAACTGTTCACTCCTTGCCTTGTCTGTGGCTGCAAAAGAAGAAAAGCAAAAAGAATGAAACTAAGTATCCAAGAAAAAGACAACAAGGCAAAGGGTGTGGACAAGTAATTCCTGGCAAATATATAACCAAAAAATATGCATAGGCAACAACAAATGTTTCATGAAACATAGAGCAACTTGCTGCTCCATAGAAAGTTGGCCACTATTAAAAGGAAAAATCTACTCAGCTCATTCATCTATTCTCTTTTTGACCATCATAACACACTGCACACCTGAAGCTCATCGTCACCCCACGCATATTTCTCATATGAGTTCCATGCGTGGAGCATAGCCTCTTTCACTTTCTCCCTTCGTTCATCGTCAATAGGCTCAACTGGAAGCGCTGATTTCTTGGACGAATCACCATCTTTGCGTCTCTCAAACACATCTCCATGTTTAGATTTATACTCTTCCACCTGAATACAGAAACTAGAAGTCAAGCAACCCATACCCTACCCTAAATATTTCACAAAGTAATGTCCTTTCAATATTCAAGAATGGGCCAGAGAGCAAAGTGCAATGTCCCGGGAGATTCAGCTGTAGCTTCGTCTTTTTTTTCTTTTTCTTTTTTGAGGTTTGGGGGCATATTAAAGGGTGGAAGATTTAAATAGAGAAGGAGAGAGAACATCAGGTATAATTAAAAGTGTTTCTCTCCAACTCACAAGCTCCATTAAATAACGGATGACAAGTTTAAAGATTTCAATATAGAAAACCTGCAGAACTATGACCACAAACTGCGTGTATATCATGCCGCAAAGTTAACAGAATAACTATAATGGTAAAGACAAGAAAAAGACTAGAAAAATGGGATCCAAAGTGGGCCAACAATAAGAGACCTTAGCAGTTAAAAATCTTACCAGATTTCGCAACTCTTTTACTTCTTCATCTAACTTTGAAATTTCTACCTGCAAAGCAGAATTACTGTCATTCTACAATAATATTCTAAAATGAGCTTCAAGCCACAGCAGGACATGATGTTGCAAATTTCATTGAGAGGAATCAGCAGATATACACGATGTTCAATTTCAGGCACAGTTCTCCATTGTATCGTTTGTTATCAGCCATCTCAAAAAGAATGAAGGTTCAATTACTGATGCATCACACTGTGAAGTGCTATGGAGGTCCCAGAGGAAAAAAAGAACAATCAATCTTTCCAGTCGAAAGGCAATAGGTGTAAAGTAAAAGTCATCTAATCTACTTAAATGTAACAGAGGCAATATTGGATGTGAATCATGTAATAAGCGACTAGGCATCTCTCCAAGCTTTTCTTTTATTAGTACTAATCTCTCCGTTTTAATGGTATTTAGGCGATATAGACCATAATAAGCCTTTCTTGAAGGAGGCACTTGTCAATTTGCTGACTCCCATTATCTGCAATAGAAACCTGAAAACTTTAGAAGCATGGCGAGCTCATCCTGTGTTAACAGCTAGCTCTACAGAAATTATGCCTTAAAGTAACTTTCTCCATTTGGCAAATAACACTAACTTGAGTCTACCCACCCATCCAGCCATGGTGGACATCTGTACCTTTAGAGTACAAAGCACCAGCCAGCATAATCACTGGCCATAAGATCATATACAGAAGTAGTTAATTCCTACTTCAAATGCCTTACGTAAAAGAAGGCTAGTGAATTTTAAGGATAGAAAATACAATTAGCATGAGATTGCAAACGTTAATAGCGATATAGTCATTCTCATGCTGTTCTTATTAATTATCTGTCAGCACGATTGCCCGGAGATATTCAATCATGCCCAGACCACCTACCCAATGGTCATCAAGGAACACTTGCCAGTGACTGCATAGAGGAATGGATACAAAACCACCACACTACAATTGATTGCCTTGGTTTGTTCAAATAAAGCTTCAGGGACATCTCCCATTTTGTAGGAGCTTAGACATCTGTTCCCGTTTCGTCTACCACAGTAATTACTAGCCCATGGGTCCATCATCAGCTGCTCCACTGATCAAAGGCAAACCTCACTCATTTTTTCCTCATTAAGCACGAAATCTAACACCCTAAATATAACCTCAATTTCGAACCCTAATATTTCCGCAATTCCCTAACAAGATTAACAAGAGTATCCAGTAAAAGGAACAAAAACCCATTTGAAAGATCTGGCAGTTAATTGTATGTAGCACCATGCCGAAACCGAAAGCATGAGCCTAAGCACTTGAAGCAGTCGGACTTTTCCACAATTCAGCCAAAGAGACAGTAATTGAGGAGCCAAGTCGTAAGTACCTCGTGTTCACTGACAAGAGTCTGGCGATCCCACACCACCAAAGAGATGCAAACAAAGGCAATGAAGAGCAAAGCCAGCCTCTTGGGCCTCTTCAAGTAATACGAGGGGTTGCAGTACCTCCACCCGCTCGACCACGACGTCGACGACGATCTGGTCCTAGCCATTCAATCGCCGACCAGATCTCGAACTCCACAAGCACACTCCCCCCTCGACAACCTCCGAAGATTCACGACCCGGTATCAGCAACCATCGGCAAGCAAAAAGCGACGAGCTTTAAGGCCAAACCAGAGGAAAGAGCTTCTGGGTCGTCGCGATTTCCAGCAAAGGAAGGATATTTGCGTCGCGAAACAAGAAATTCGAAGACCAAGAATCCGAGAGAGGGAAAAAGAATAACAAAAGAAACAAAAAAGAAAGGAAAGGAAAGGAAAGCGTGTGATCGCTTCAGTATATGGTGATCATGATCACAGATTAGACAGATCTCTGCTTAGATTCGGAGGTAAACGATGTCAATGGGGACGGAGAAAACAAGCGAAACCCAGAGCGAGAAAGAACACGGAAATTTTGTCCGCGTCCAGATCTAGGAGGGAGGATAGCTTGGACGCGGTCGTAGAGAGAGAAGCAGAAGAAGAAGAAGAAGAGAATAAAAAAATGACTTTGGACCAATGGCCAGACACCGGATGGTAATCATAATTATTAAACTTATTAACTATCATCTGTTCTTGATTATCTAATTTTCATGTCTGCCTGTTGCAACTTGAGACATGTCGGGCTGGGATTGTTTAGGGAAGAAGGAAGACTTCTCAACGAAGAGGGTCCCCGTTCCAGTGCAACGTCATTAATCACGAATTTGCCTTTCCCGTTTTATTATTTTTTGTGAAATGAAAATTAATCCCGGCTCCATTTGTTTTTTAATTTGCAGGAGGGACGGCCGAGAGAAGCAATAAAAGAAAATGAAAATCATTCTCGACTTTTGCCGTCGATTGTATCTTGCATTTTTTTTAATGCAGCTATAAATTTAGCAAGCTAGAATTTTTTAGGCATTTATTACATATTTTCCGGAAAATGTCGAAGCGCAATGATCGTTTAAAGGGAGTTTCTATTTTTTTGAAGTACCGATTATAATTTTCTGAAGAGAACGACGACTTTGGCAATGAAATTTCTGCAAAGAAAAGGTCCAAGTCAAGGTCCACCATTATCTTTCTGACCCTTAGTCGTCAAACACGTTGTGGTTGGGCCGATTCTCCTTGCCTCGTACGGTACGGCGATCCAACCACTGCCGCATCCAATTCTCAGCGAACGGCTGGGACTTGAGAATAGTGTGGACTTGGAAGTCAGTGTCTTAGGCGTGTGAGCGCTCGATATGATTGTCCGCTTCGACCAATCCCATGCCGAACCTCAGATCTCCTAAGCACTTTTACTTCGCTTAGTTTCGCCACGCCAGTGAAATGGAACGAAGCACAGAGCAGGGGAAGAGAAAAAGGTTTACACTCAAGAGTATGGAGCCGGTTACCAGACAGAATATGATCTCGACAACCAAACGTCCCGCCCTTCATTTACATCGACAAACAAAGGCACCTCTTCCGAATCTTTTATGTTATGGTTTTCGGATAAACTACAGGGAGAAACAGACTAGCCCTCTCCGTCAAGAACAGTAAACACCCTATCAATGACAACAATCCCAAACTAAACAGTATCTACAATTTGCTTGAGGTTCGCAACTGGTCCATTTCATAGACATTTAACATGTATCCTTGGCTTCTGCCAAACTCGACCTGAACGGAGTCAGGATGTCTGTCCACATAAAATGAAAGCATGGACTAGGCTCTGAGCAGCTCGGACTTGGTCAGCTGTTCCAGACACCACTACAACGCCTTCAGAAGCCCCATGCTTTTGATCGTGAATGTCCACCATCGCGCCTGAAATCTGTGATCACCCAGGGTCAATGAGACTGCAATAAATTTAATCTTATTCCCATGACTTAAACATCTGCTTACCTGTCTGATCTGATTCAGATTGCTATCATCCTCTCCATGTACATGCCCTAACAAATTCTGCGGGATCACAATCTCAACCGATGTGCTCGTCAACATGGGGCCTGGGTTTCCACTGATTGTACAGATTCATTAACAGAAAGCCGGGAGGATCAGACTAAAACATAAACAGGGAGAACTTTCTGGACACAGTGATCCAAACATCACACAGGAACATCAAGTGTCCAAGACATGTGCCCCATAACTGCAGTCAAGTTCAAAAAATATGGGATTTAAGTCCCTGCAGATTTGACTACAGTATTCTACTTTTTGTTGTTTCTGCATTACTTTAATTCATTCACCATCTAGTTCAACGTACCAGCCAGACACGTGCAGTTGGTATTTGAGTAAGCAACAAAGAAAAAGAGTATTACCTTCCAAATGGCCAACTTCCTGGAGCCCTACCGGAACCAAAATCAGGCATTCCCCTAGGATGACTGCCACTGAAACCCTAAAATAACTCCAACCAACAGAAATGAATTCCAGATGTAAGATTTGATGCATAAATCTTGTTCATTTGCAAGTTTATCGGGGGCACATAGGCTTTTTCAAAAGGTGCAAATAACATACTTGTGGATTCCACATTCTTGGTGAAGGTGGTCTATCAAATGGAGGACCATAAGCTGGTCTGTCACCCCCATAAGGATGCGGAATGCTCCGGTCCAATCCATGCGGAAATGGAGGCTGCAAATCAAAGGGTGGTGGGGGAGGGATAGGACGGTCCATTCCATGAGGGTGTGGATAACGGCCTGGAGAATGTGGGTAACGGCCTGGAGACTGTGGGTTATGCCTCGGCCTGGAAAATGGGGGTGGCATTTCGTTGAACGGAGGCAAGTGTGGTGGGGCAACAAAGTTTGAACGCGGGGATTTCATTGGGAATATGGTCTCATGAATTCTGCCAGTTATATGAAACAGAGCATCTTGTACAGAATGCAAGTTTCCCACAACCTGCCAAAAACCACCCAGCTTTCAACATCATAAGCCGCATTAATTCGATACCTATGAACAACTCCTCCAGAATATCAACCAATGGATGGAAAGTCGATGATCTTACCTAGCAAAATCAGGCAGATTTACACTATGGATTAGATTCAAGAGCACGACACTTTAACATTTGCGCGATAAAGGGGAAACAAGACTAGCAGACTGCTGAAGTCAAGAATCACACATTACCTGCACAACCTCGTGATAGTGCGAATCAAACTTTGGAGAATGTTCTTTCACAAAAACTCGTATACCGGCACCAGTAGCCCTCTTCAATTCATTGATAAAAAAGCCTCCTTTACCCACCAAGAAACCTATCTGCTGTGAAGGCACGAGAAGCCTAGCAATAACTGCAACTCCAGGTTCAAATCCAATCTCAGTAATTCTGTGATGCACACGCATGACAGCATCCTGTGCAGCAGAACGTATTTGCTCTGAGTTCTGAAATGAAGGGTGAGAAAGAAGAGGTAAGCTTTTGACAGACTTGGAATAAAAAAGATGCAGCCGACTTGGTCACAATCCTTCCTCTCTAAAATCCAGAGAGATGCAAATATATTGCAGAAAAAGAGTTTCGAATCTAGGACTGCCTGCAATTGCGGGTTTTACACTGGCATACCAGATGAAGTCCTCACCAATCACCAATATAGTTTCACCCAAAGCAAAACAATCAGTTAATAAATTTGACCATCTTATATAGTTCTCGAAAACCACGGCTCCACAAGATTCACGCAATTATTTAACCACATATCGTTCGTTCCTTATATCACCACATATGTTTCTCATAAGGAAGATATGCTATAGATGCACACTCATTCGAGAGCATTCATGAGAGAAATATTTTAGATCATAAAGCATCTAAGAATCTGCAGACTCCACTTAGTTGAATAAGGGGTGATAGTTGTTGCTGTAGAACATCTAACCAATTATGACCGAAAAAAAAAATCCAAGAAAAAGGGCTCAAAAGGAAAATACAGCAAACAAATTTCAACTATAGAATAGGATGAACATGCCTCTCGTGCGGAAATTATGATGACTTTCTCATCTGAATCTGGCGAACCATCAGCTACTTTGATAAATGCGCCAGTCTCATTTTGCATGGCACGAACTACAGAGCCACCTTTACCAATCACACTGCCAACTTTTTCTCGCTGGCATAGCAACTTAAATATGACCTCCTCTTCCACCACCATCCTACGGTTGGCTCCGATGATCTCAGGCCCGGAAAAGGGAGGGTAACCCATGGATAGATGATCAGAGGCATGTCGTCCAGATGGATGACCCTCTTTAGGAAAAGGATCCATATGAGAAGAAGTTGAAGAAGGCAAACCTCCGGAAGCTTTAGCGGCTGCGGCACCCGAGTTGGCTGAATCAGCCCTAGGGTTTTCCAGAAAACAACTTGAAACAGATAGGAGTGCTCTCTTCACGGCTGAGAAATTTCCTGTAATCTGTATCAGATTATCATAATTAAGATGCTCGCACACAGTAATTACCATATAAGGACTATTTGATGAGAAGCCACACATTATACGAGAGAAACGGAGAGCAGAGAAAAGTCGGTCGCAGCTCAGCTGCATACCATAAGAGGAAAAGACCTTTTTACTTGTATTGTATATATATAATCTACTGCCACATCTCAGGCTAATGCCGTTAATGTAGTATACTTTATTAAGGGTCACCCAACTCAATACTCGACTTTTTTCATAACATACTTAATTTGCCATGATTCCCTTCAACAAACTTACCAAAATGCTTCAATGTGGAATGCTCCAATTTTCATGCTAATGTTCATCTTTGATGGCATTTCTTCTCTCATTATTTTCTCTAGCTGTAAAATATAATCCGTATCAATGCCAATGCAAGTTTTTTTCAAAGTAGTTAATTTTGAGACCGGTAAGGGGAGAAAACACAAGGAAGCACTCACTAATTTGAGAGATAAAAACAGGAAAAAATGAAGTTTCGTTATTTAACCAACAAGAAATGCGAGATTAAGTGACCATTCCCATTACTTCCAAGTGACATTCACATAATTTTCCCACATCCATATCACATATTTCCAGTGCTTTATTTAAAGCTCCTAACTTTACAGCTGATCCAAGAAAAGATATCACCGAAGAATATTAAACTTGTGCTGCATTTTCATCTTCTGTTGCTAACACAACTTTGTCATTATCTCCAAGCCATAGAAAAGGTTAATTACCAATACTTGTCCAGAATTGCCCATATTTCGAATCATAGAGTAACAAAATCAAAACTTGAGACACTCCTTTCTCAACTACCTTTCTGCACATTATGCAAATACAAATATAAGCAACAAAACTGCCAGTTTATTAACTACCAAGGTTTTAAATTCAGAATCCTTATTACGCCTAACTCATTCAATTTTACACAAAGCTACGGGAGCCAACAAAATTGACGCGTTTAAGAAGATTCAACTTATAAAATGGTGTTTGTTTTCGCTTCCTAAAACATCTATCCCTAACCCTCAGGCACATTTCCAGTCACTACTACGTTGTAAAAGAAAAATCGAGCACCTTTTTCTTTACTCCTCATCTGCACCCCATCAATCCTAAAACCTACCAAATGTGTTAGAATGCAAATTCATTATCACCCAAATGTCCGCGACATTCGACTTACAACAACAGCAAAGGGTTCTACAAATTTAGATGGAATGTGAGCATAAGCAGCTCTGAAACTACACAGTAAGAGCAAAATCGAGCACCTTTTTCTGTACTCCCCATCCGCACCCCATCAATCCTAAAACCTACCAAATGTGTTAGAACGCAAATTCATTATCAACCAAATGTCCGCAACATATAACTTACGACAGCAAAGAGTTCAGCTAATTAAGATGATATATAAGCATAAGGAGCTCTGAGAACTTGCAAGCAGCACAATCAAAGTGTAAAATGCAATCATGCAAGCCAGCAAAAGCAGCACCTCTATCAATTCGTCTCTGGAAGAGGCAAAGGAATGATGATCCAAGGGCAATACAGTGACGGAAGCCCCACTCTCGTGCCTAATGCTCTCGATTCTCTCAAGAACTTGGCGATCCACCTGATCACTCCGCGCCAACATCCTACACGCCACGAAACCCCTGCCGCTTCCACTCTCGCGAGGGCTCGAATTGTGGCTCGGATCACTCGATGCGCCGTCATCCACCCTGTTCCGTTCCACCGAAACTATCTTCTCGAAAACCCTAACCAAAGCCCGCTGAGCTGGGGACAGCTCCTCGCGCTCGCCCGCATTCGCGCTCGCGCTGAAACCTCCGCTCCATTCAGAATCCCGAACCGGATTGCTTCCGCCTCTCGGTTCGGTCAGGTTCGAACCGGCGGTGGCGCACTCGGCGGAGGATATGAGAACCACTCGATCGTCGCGCGAGGAAGCCGGAGGAGGCTCCTCGAGGACGCGGACTCTCGCGCCGGCGAGGTCGCGCGAGCCCGAAGCGACACCGCCGGCCCTCGGCGCCGGGCAGAGGAGCCTGAACACGACGCAGCTGGGCTCCGGAGCGGCGGTGCAAGCCGACGGCGGCGGGCGCCGGGCGGCGAAGGGCGCGTCCATGAGGAGGAGGAGGAGGCGACCACCCCCGTGCGGTGTTCACGACCGTCGAGGAAGCGTCTTGACTTTTACGACTCGTCGTTTCGGGTGTCGTCGGGAGAAGATGCCCATGTGTCCTCCGTGTCCACAACCGGTGCTACACTTATTTTATTTTCCATGCCAACTTCCCGCAACTTAGAGAAGAAGTTGTGACAAAATTTACTAAAAATCATCAATTACTTTTGGTCCTTATACTAGTGCAATCGAGTTTTGGAACATATAATTTTTCTAGTCCAAACATGTGAACGTGCACAAATTTTCTAATTCAAGTTCACCCGGCTCGAGATCCGCTTTGCTAGAACTAAAATGCCCTTCGGAGTCGACAAGAGCCTCAACATAAATAGTTTTGAGTCCAATGCTCGTACCGAGAAATCTCGTTATTCGAGATCGGATCCCAAATTCAATTACGATATTCTTAGTTCCATCGTCTACAGATAATTAGAGATGGCGAAAACTTTCTCTAGCTCGCACTCGTGCCTCGAATATAACTTAAGTCGAATTTAGGCCCATTCTGTTTCGCGAAAAATAGATGGTTTTGAAAAATATTTTCTCAAAAATAATAGCTTATATCGATTGAAATAACTGGTTAAGAAAAAATATTTTCACTATCGATAACAATTTATGTTTAAATATTATCGTAAACAATAAAAAATATATTTCGTTCACTTATTTTTGTAAGTGGTACAAATAATCATTTTTTGGAAAATATTTTTCAAATCATATATTTTTCGTGAAACAAACAAAAGATCAATCTGTATTGCAGGAAATGCGATAATTCTTGAAGTCGTTTTATAAGAAAATGACAATTTTTTTCGATAATTGGCTAAAACCTGGAAACGAATTGGGAAATCTTTTTCGTCGTCTGATAAATAAAATAAAATTTGATTTTCCTAAACAAACATACACTGTTCAAATGCCATTGAATTGTGCATAGACAATCGGAGAACAAAGCACGGACGCCAAGGTCCCGAGCCCAGATCCTCGGCTTCCGGGCGCGAGCATGGGCCCGCCCTCTTTAGACCTGAGCATGGCCTTGATGGACCCCGGTGAACACAACCCCCGCCTTTGGACTCGGGTTCGATGCCAAGGGCCTGGGAACAAGTGTTGGGGTTCCATTGCCCAAATACAGAGTTTTTGATCCAAACGTCGATATCGAATCATATATTGGAAATTGATTTTCTATTTTTTACTCAGTTTATTTTCACGAAAAAGGATTGATTCGGAAAATATTTTCCTAAAAATGATCGCTCGTATCGCTTATAAAAATAAACAAACGAAAATAGATTCATCGTTTGCGAAAATATTTAGACATAAATTATTTTGATAATGTAAACATTTTTCATTAACTAATTATTTCAAGCGACATAAATAATTATTTTTAGGAAAATATTTTTCAAATCATTCATTCCGCAAAACAAATAAGCCAAAAGAAAATCATTTCCCGAGTTTAAACATAAGTTTTTTGTTGACTTATTTTTTTAAGTGATTCAAACACCGAAAAATGAAAAAAAATACTTTCTGCAAAATAAAGTGTGCCAAGTGGGAGTGATTTGGTTGGCAATGCTACACCAGTTTGAGAATTTGATAAGGATAACTATGATAGTTAATTCTCCATTCTCTCTCCATGTCTTCTTCAAGCTTCAGTCATGCTATCTCACCCTCCCCTCCCCTTCTTGTTGATTTTGTTTGAGTTTTCTTAATCTTTTTTTTTTCTCCCGATCTAGATCTCAGACCTCTCTTGTGACATTCGGAAATTTCGTAACAATAAGTAATTGACGTTGAGAATTTTCTATGTTCGAAGATGATATTTAGATTATAAAGCTAAGTATTATTTAAGTTAATATTCGTGCGGACGCGTAAAAATCGTTGTTGGATTGTAAATCGCGAAGCGCGGATTCGGAAACGTAATCGCCCTGAGCTCGTCGTAATTAAAATCTTAAACGTTGTTGTGTGCGATAATCGTAGTACGGTATTAATTAATTTACCGTTGTTTTGGGAATTTAGTGGGTATTATTATTATTGGTTAATTTTGGTTAAGTAGTGTTAGTCTTTTATTCTATTTGCCGTTAAGGAAAGGGAGGAGATATTCTCTCAAAATATCTTTTCTGGACTCTTCTTCTCTCACTTGGCTATTGAAGGAGAAGTTGACCGAATGCCATTTGTCCCCTTGAGCTAGACACCTAAGCCTTGGGTAATCATTTTCCTTGGCCAATACTCCTACGATTAAGCTACTGATTTCTTCCACCTGGCCATGATGAAGAGATAAGGTGCCACGTGTGAATACAATGAATTTACCCACCCCTTCGTATACTTCTCAATTTTCATCTTCGTCTGGGTAATTACCGAAGACAATTTCACCCAAACCGACACTCTCTCCTTCATTTTCTAATCTCACCACCACCGATCCAAAAATCTGTGAAAGAGTTTTAACCTTTGGGGTGTTCAGATTCTGCACAAGAGAAGTGAAAACTCTAGGTTTAAGCTAAGTAAATCTATTTGGTACTTTTAACTTGGTTACTTGAGAAAGGTTATTTTGATGTGCAATAGTGAGGTTGTGATGATGGTTGAATCTGTTTTGCTAGTTCTGTGCATGTTCAAATGGATGTGATTTTTGTTTCTTTAAAATTATAGTGAAAATCTACAAGTGGAATGATTAAACTTGAACGTGTAAGTGTTATCCTTGTGGTAATCGTTGAATTCTTCTTATTGGTTTATGTATGTTTAAAAAGGGTAGAAAATCGTTTTATTGAAAGTGGAGTATATTATGTGAGTATGAATGATGGTTCTGTATATCTTTGAAACTGCTTAGACTTTATTGTCAAAATCTGGTTCTGTGTACCTTTGAAACTGCTCAAACTTTACTGTCAAAAATCTGGTTCTGTATATTTTTTAAACTGTTCAGACTTTACCTTCAGACCTTACGCTCAGACTTTACCTTCATACTTTACCGCTCAGATTTTACTTCAGAGTTTACCGCCTAGACTTTACTGCTCAGACTTTTCCGTTCAAACTTTACCTTCAGACTTTACTTTCATACTTTACCTTCAGACTTTAGCCTTGTGAGTCTGAACTTGCTTGTGAGTCTGAACTTGCTTCTGAATCTGAATGTGCTTCTGAGCCTGAACCCACTTCTGAGTCTGAATTCGCTTCTGAGTTTGAACCCGCTTATGAGTCTGAACTCACTTCTAAGTTTGAACCCGCTTCTAAGTCTGAACTTGCTTTTTGAGTTTGATTTCCTAGCTCGCCTGTCCAGAATCAGTATTTTCTTAATCAAGGAAGTTTTATCTCAAAATTTGGATATGAGTATTTTCTAAATTTGAGTAGACTTTAACCTTTTGAGTTTGAACCCGTATTGCTTCGTACTTATTTGCTCAAATGATGCATTTCATTTCTTTAAAGGACAAAACTGTGATGGCTTAGTATGGGACGGGCCAAAGCGGACTTTTGCATGTAAATACTTGGTGGTCATGACTTGCATGAGAATAATAATAATCCCGTAGCCCATTTAGTGGTGTGTGACGATGCCCCGCGTGTCGGGATGCCCCGTAGGTCGGGATGCCCCGAGGAGTGTTTCGGGATGCCTCGGGAGTCGGGATGCCTCGGGAGTCAGGATGTCCCGGGTGTGTGTCGGGATGCCTCGGAGTTGAGATGCCCCGTTGGTCGGGATGCCCCGGGAGTGTTCGGGAGAATGAAGTAATGAACCTAATCGTATGAGCATAAATGTTTTACATCATGCTTGCGTTTGAGTGTAAATATTATGATATGTTGCATTACTCAGAATTTGCGGCACATCCAAACGGAAAAGGTAAAACTTGCATGCAAGTTCTATGCATATCGTTTGCTATGCATGCGTGTGTGTTTATGCCAAGTGAAGTGGTAAGCTGATTTTCCTAACTTAAAACTAGAGACTTCATTTACTGGGCCTCGGCTCATCCCATTATTTTTCAGACATGTAGGAATGGACAATCTGCTACCAATGCTTGCTGGTTTTTCCCTAAATACCATGAATGCCAGTACATTGATATGCTTGTCCCGAGGGCGCATATAGTTTGTACTAGATATATATCTACTATATGGGTTGATGCGGGATTTTGGTTGATATGAAGGCGACGACATCTACGACTCGTTGTAAAGTCTACTTTTGTACGGGCCATCTTTGGAGTAAATTGTAGCATGAAGATAGGCAACCTCGACCTACCCAGATGTTTGTTCTTTGTGATTTTATGATGTATTGTCTGGACTTGTAATTCTCACAAGTGTTGTTAATAAGAAGCAAAAGTATTTTGACAAAACTTGTTCAGACTTTGACTTTCGCTGGCCAATTTATTAATAATATTAATTGGTACGTGTTACGCGTGACGTTCTGGGACGTCACATCTCTTCCCTCAGTCTAGTTGCGGATTTGAGAGTTTGAACTCTCCTAATTTAGTTTTGGATCTCTGAGTTATTTTCTCCTAATTTAGATTTGGGAGTTTAATAATATTTTCGGGAATTCGATACCCTCATGCTCTATTCATATACAGATTTTCTGTCTCTAGTTTCAATGGTGATTGTAGGAGTTTTGATGATCGTAGAAGTTTTGGCGTCTCGTTGAACTATGAAGATTTGAATTTCCAAAAGTTGGATACATGTTTATTCAACTCATTGTCTCTGTATGGCAACGGTGTATAGGAAGCCGAACCTAGGAATGTACCGCCAACTTGTAACGCTATAATTATTGAAGAAGGAATTTTCAATGTGTGCTCATCAATGATTATGATATGAGATCCAGCGATCGGCCACCAATTATTTTACTTGACAAATTCGTTCTTATGGAACGAGTGTGTGCTTAACCCTGTCCTCTTTTAATCCTCCTTGTTTTATGGCTTTAGCTTTGTTTTATTGTATTATGAGCTTTGATTTGCTTTGATTTGCTTTGCCATAAAAAAATTATGTACTTTTTTTTTCTATCGAACATGAAAGTCTATGTACTTCTTATGTATCATTTTGAGCAATTAATACAATTATTCTGACCAAAACAAAAAAAAAAACACTAATTTCAAAAGCTCTTTTTCTTAATAGTACGCATAACAATATAGACTAGATTCGATCACCGGTGGTGCAGCAGC